GGTGGTGGTGAGGATATGGTGGTGTTAATTTTTTGTTAAAAGCATTTCTTAATTTAATTTCCATTTCATCAGCTATTGTGACATGATCACTCATTGAATTTGGATGCTGTTAAAATGCTACACATAATAAATGCATCAATATTTAAAAACTAACTCTGTTTCCTGTTGATTGTGTCCTTGATTGAACCAAACGCCCAGCTAAACTAGGTGTAACTGAGGTTGCTACAGCCATATTATGGATGATGGATCTCATTTGTGTGCCTGTAACAGGCTGAATTCGTTGACCAATGGTCTGTATTGGTTGACCTACGTTGGACTGTTGTTGAACTGTCCGTTGATCTTGAACAGCAGGATTCGCCTACACAATAAATATTTGAATGAACGTTTCATTAAACAACATTAGTAGTCTGGTAATAAATTTTTATTTTAAAGTGATCATAAACAGCAGTGAATGTTTCTTATCTAGATTCACTAACATGTAACCTGAAGAGAAAGTATTAAAGTAAATCTCATTATGGTTTATTAGACAGAAAAATAGTGAAAAGTTTTCTAAATCATCTGCATTCAATGGTGGTAAGGCAAATATATATTTGGTCACTAGTGATCTAGCAATTTATCCCGATCCTTACCTGATTGTGAACAGTTTGAATAGGATGTGGTTGACTATAATAATCATTTTGGGTCTGCTGAGGATACTGTTGCTGAGGCTGGTAGTTTTGTTCCACAGGGTACCCATGGGGTGCAGAGGTTTGATACGGGGGTGCTAATTGGTTATTATACTGTAAAACAGGGAAGTTTTGGTACTGAGGAGAAGGGGTAGGGGCATATTGTTGAATAGGTTGGGGAGCTGGAGGTTGTTGATGGGTCTGAGGGTACTGTTGGTATGGCTGCTGAATGGATGGTGAGTAAGTAGATGGATGATAAGAGGCAGTCTGGGGTGTGTACTGTGGGGCAGGTGTCGGGTATGAAGTAGGAGTAGGTGGATTTGGAGCAGGATATTGATTAAGCTGTGCTGCAGGAGCATTTGAAGGTGCAAATTGAGAAGGATATTGCTGAGAAGGTGGCCCTCGAGGAGGTGCTGAGTGGGGTGCCTGGTATCTTATATTTTGGGAAACAGATTGAGGAGGGGCAAATCTTACAGGCTGATTGGGTGTAAGGGCATTGGCTACAGGCCGTTGTCCTCTATAGCTTGGATCATGATTTATTATGTGAGGCCCCCTTAACCTGGGATCCACAATTTGAAGAGGGTTTTTCAACCTTGGATCTGAAGAAGGAGCAGGGTTTCTAATCTGTATGTTAGCTCTAGGAGGTGGTCCTCTGAATTGCTGACTATTTGAGGCAAGTAGCTGAAACCTTGAATCTAAATAAGGTGCCGCTCCCTTTAATCTAGAGTCATTTACAGCAGATGGTGTCCTCAGTCTTGGACTATTTGTAACAATCATTCTAGGCTGATTGAGAAATGCAATTCGTGGAGATGGAGGGGAGCCAAACATGTTCTGTTGCTGCTGTGGTCCATTAGGGAATCCTGTGGGCCTCTGTAAGACAAACTGTCCTCCAACTGATGCACCTTTTGTTGGTGCAGACTGGGGATGAGGAGGCTGAAAATTTCTTTGTTGTTGGTTATTACGTGGAACCTGCTGCTGCAAGACAGGAGGACCTTTTTGCCTCTGGACAGGAAGTGAGCCTGTCTGTTGTTGAATGGGTGGTGGACCGAGTCGAGCGGCAACCGATCCACTAACTGGTTTGACACTTGGTGGTTCTTGTTCCATTTCTGAGCTTCCCAATACATCTTTCAAGGTTTTGCCTGAAAATTAAAATCATTTTGATTAGTTGTTTAAAAACAATAAGATAAGATATTAAGATATTCAATAAGATATTTTTTTAAAGTCTATTTATTAATTTCAAAATGTATTTATTAAACCATGACACTTTCAAAAGCAGACAATATTATCTCCTTAGCATAATGAAGAAATATGCAACAATAAGTAAACCAAGGTTATACACTCATCATTTTTTATTATTATTAATATGTCAGTATCCCTCAAACCCTGTTATCACATAACTACAATATTTTAATGCTTTATGTCAAAGCCTAATTTGTCGGCTTGAAATGACTTTTGGTATCAGAGTGAGAATTTGAAAATACCAAATGCTGAAAATATGTCTAATTGTATTCTAAAAGTTAGTCTAGAATTGGTGTGAGAGCATTCACAAACAGATTCTTATCCAATCTTATGTATTTATAAGTATTAATGTATTACTACTTCTCAGATCCATTAACCACAATAATATTCTAAAACAGGATTTAACAACCTTTTCTATCCTCTGCAACCTCTCAGATTTTTGCTTATAACAGACCTGTTTACCTTTGTACTCCTAAATTCGTACAATCTCGTCTAAGAATAGTACAATACACAACCGGTATTTTCATAGTAAATAAATAAACATACTATATACCTATATAATGTATACAATAACTACTCGCAGTGCCTGCCTAGTGGGATCAAGTTAAGCTGTGGTCAAAAAAGGTAACTTCTAAAAGTAGTTAGATGACTGACGTTTATATTTAAGTGAACGTGCAGAGTACATTATCCCAGTATGTCACTGGTAAAAATAAAGTTACTGGTAAAATTTAATAAGGTTTCACTTCGAAGTCAGATGGCATAAAATAAAATTTATCAACATAAGAATCAATTAAAAAATTAGAGTGTCATTTAAAACAAACCTACCAGGTAAGTTGAGATTTCTTTTTTAGGAAAAGAACTTAAAAAAATAAGAATCAATATAAAATATGCATATTTCCTGTTAACACGTGAGTCTGTAAATGGGTGACAGGATATGGTATTAAAAATTGCATAGCACTGTTGTGGGTTCCGAAAAAATAGATTGCAAAGGCCCTCTCAGATCCTATTAAATATGTCAAAATCTAATGTGTCTGTGCAGAACAGTGAAAAATGCATTTCCTTGTTTTCTTCGTTTCTGCACTCATCGCGGTTCCACCGTATGAATAATTATGTCACAAAATTACGTAATACAGCACCAACACAGACAAACGTGAGTGGGGGGGACTCTACATGGTACTTACAAAAAAGGCAAATTATCGACCCCCCTCCCCCTGTTGTACACATACTTTTTACGACCCCCCCCCCTCCTTTTTTTCTATATGGGTTGCTGCGACACGCTCACAGGGGCAAAATATTACAAAATTTTCATAATTTTATTTCCACTCTTAAATCCAATGTGACATCTAGCGGTTGTGGTGCAAGCAGTAACTCTCTGGAGAAACTAGTTTGTAGTTACTAGATGGTGCTTAGTGACCTACTTATTTGTAAGATTTATTTTTACCCAACCCTTTAATTTATTTTGTTTATGTATTTGCTATTTGTTTAGTCAATCCAGGGCCATTCTTACGCACCCTGGTTTAAGATTTTAACATAGGGAGCCTGATGAAAACATGATTTTAGCATAGATGCAGGGAAAAGGAACAGTTTGGAACCGCTGCGTAGCCCAACAAAATATACATCATATATAAGGTGGACTAATTATTACTGTAATAACTCTAGTACTTATTACCATCGGAGTTTATCAAGTGAGTTCCTTTGTAAAAATACATGGCAATATTATTACAATAATTCCTACAAAATATTGCGTGAAATTTTTACAGCATTTGAGATATAAATATATTTTTTGGGACTTTGAGGATGATTATTGTTGAATTTTTTAATAAAGTACGTACTTTCTGCCAAAATCCCCACCCCCCACAAAGGCACTTGTATGCAAAATCATAGGGTGCTGGGTGGCTGAGTGGTCTAAACTGAGCAAATCTCAAGTTGGTGGTCTGGAGTTCAATTCCAGCTAGAGCAAAAACACCACCAGCACCCCGGGTAGATGGGACTCGTTAACCTTGGACGGCAACTCATCTAAGAGAAGGAAACTCTGAAATCAAACCCGGAGATAGAGGCGGATAACGTCACTGGTGCCAAGCTGTATCATCCAATGATGTTCCCTTGGGTTACCCAGCGGCGTGGAGAGAGGCGATTTGCTGTTGGGAACCAGCTTATAATCCTTAAAGTATAATAATCCCAGGCTATGTGGATTTCGTCCTACGAGGCCCACTCCATCGTCACATTGTGACGGACGGATACCAGCATGCAAAATCTTAATAATCGACAATCCCCCTTCTCCTCAGTGCGTAAGAATGACCCTGGATTGACTAAACAAATTTTGTAAATTTGTCACTAGGGCGACTATGCTATTATAATTGTAGCAGTGTCTAGCGAGTTCATTATAAAAACACAAAGCAACAATATGACCATACCACTATCATTACGAAAATGTGGGGGTTTTAGTTTTATAGAAATAAATATTCAGACCCCCTCCCTCATCAAAACGTACACACGTACAAAAAATACAAACACCTTAAGTATTATAGTTTCAAAAAAGCAATATGTTTGCAGATTAGTGACTAAAGTATGTTTTAATAAGAATTAAGGTGACTTTATAATTATTTCCTCTTTTAGGATAGGTTGGAAAATTTTTCACTATTAGGGTTGTCACCGGGTATCCAGATGCAGAGTACCCACACAAAGCTAACGGCCCTGGCAATTCTCAGGACTCTATTTGAAGAAATTATTTTTAAAATAAAATAGCAGGGGCACAAGCTCTGGCAAGATAATAAAATTCCTAAGATTTCCTGTGCAACAAAACTTTTGTGATTTCAATATTAAAGTTTAGATCAAAATTAATTTGTTATTTTTACCAATAATCAGGCAATTTATGACAAATTGGAAACAATAATACAATTGTCATTTATTAATAACAGTTAATAATAGTTCAGTTTTTTCAGGGTTTCCACAATTGGTAGGTATATCTGGAATTTCTTAGAGGATGGGAATGAATGTTTTTAATGTGAATTAAAATTCCATTTTAAAAACGTTAAACTAAGATTAATTTATCACTTTAAAAAAAAAAAGAGATCAAGGCAAAAAGCATATAGCTATGCAAACCTTCTTGTTTTAATCTTTCTTCAAGTTCTTTACGTTTGATTGCTGCTTGCCTTTGCCTGGCAAGTTCCTTTTTCTTCTGAATAAGTTCTCTCTTACGCCTCTGCTCTTCTAACAAAACATCTAATTTGCTAGAGTCTTCATTCAGTGTCTGTGGCAGGAATAATAATTGGTTTTAATAATATTTAGAGATTTTTTTGGTTACTTTTAACAAATATTTTATATACTTACAGATAATGGATGTTAAATAATTATTTTTATATTTTCCAAAAAAAAAATTTTTTTTTCTAAATAACATTGATCAGAGTTTAAAAAATGTATGCCTAAAAAAATTACCAGTGTGATAAAAAGCAAGGCCACTAAAAAATAATTACACTTTAAGTGAAATATATAATTTTATAATGACATTCATGCTAAGAAGTCCAACCTCTTAAAAATACTTTTATTTCATTAAAATTTGTTATTGCAAATTCTTGTACATTATTTTTCAAAAGAGTTTTTCCAGTAATCCTGTGTAATTAAAATGTACTATTTGAAGGATCACTGATGACCAGTTAGAAAAAAACTAAAAAGTCCATACCTTTTTTGGTTGTTCATCTTTTGCTATAACCTCTTCATTGGATGGTTTTTTAATGATCTTAGCAGGTACCTCATTAGTAACCATTACTGATTTTCTTTTCAGTCCTGGTGAAACATTTTCTGTTTGTTTCACTTGCTTTATCTGAGTTTGTGCTGATGTTTTAATCTGACTTTGTTTAGCCCGATCTAACAATGCTTTTGCTCTGAAAAATATGAAATTAGTGTTTATCAGTGATTTTTTTAAAGTTCACTTTCATTTTGTTTCACACCAGAGTATGGAATTTACTAAAGAATTAGGCAGACACCTAAAATAAAAATAATCTACGATGGAAAATAAAAACACAATAAGTTTTTTTTAAAAAGTCATATTGCTGGGAAATATATAGACCAGATAGGATGCTAATTTTGTGGTTTACTTAAATAAGATACAGAATTATTTAAAATAAAACTCAGTCAATTAATGTACTCCATTTTACCAGTATTTACTCCTTTTTATTATACATTTGATGTTAATTTTTTCTGATTTTATCATAAATAATAAGGCTTAGCCTTTACTAACATTTTTTTCAAGTGCTTAATTTAGTTTAGGTTCTATTAAATTTTTTTACAAACCATTCCCCATTTTGAAAGTTAAATGAAACATATACAAATTAAAAAATATTTTTAAAATTGTGTGAGGTAAAAATAAAGGATGTTACAAGCTCACTGCACCCTCTGAAAAATCAACAGACTGCAAGTTAAGCAATATAAAACTCAATTATTGGACTTATGGACTTTTTGGAACTAACAAGTGCAAAGGGGATGCTCTATAACTGAAAAAAATGAAAAACAAATTTATATCAACACAGCACCAGTTTGAAATTTAAAAAAAAATGATTTTAAAACGTATTTAATTTATAATATATATATTATTTATAAACAATTTTATAATGTCTTAATATTCACTAACTTCTGAATTTGAACTGGGACCCCCATTTTTACAGTTCTTGCACCTCCTTGCAATGTTTGAGGACCCTTGAAATTCAAAAAGAGAAAATAATTAGTTTATTGAAGATTTATCAAAGAAATAATATGATAAATGAATTGTCAAAGATTCATTTGAGCAATCATAATATATGCAAAGGAATTCCTAGATATTTACTTTTACCAAACAAAATTATAAGTGTCTTTTAATAGATGCTGATACAAAAATCTTTTTGTTTAACTGACCTGTGGTCTCACTTGCTGATTCTGAAATCTTGGATTTATATAGATCTTGTGCTTGCGCATCATTTGGCCCTCATTCCCAGCTAGCGCTTGCTGATAGCCTTGATTAGAAGAGAATTGGGGCCGGGCTTGATAAAAAGGTTGCTGAAATGATTGGCTGTTTGGTTGTTGCGGTCTAATCTGATTCTGCACTGGTCCAAGGCGCTGATGAGGGGGTACTCGACGAGGTCCTGTCTGCTGAATATTGAGTAGAGATTGTGGAGGTGTGGAGACTGGTTTCACAAGAGAGGGAATAGGCTGTCCAGATGTAACTGAAACCATAGTACGATTTATCCTGATTTGTCCACTTGACTCCATTAATGGTCGTGGACTTTGAGGAGATGGGCCTTGCATTGAAATTCGAACTCCCTGTCCCATGGGCATTCTAAAGTGATTAAATTGAGCCTGATTAGGTTGCGGTCCTCGTAATTGTAAATGATTTTGTTGAAGAACTTTTATATTCTGTTGTTGAAATAGACCCCTCTGATTATTTGTTGTTGGGCCTCTTGGCTGTATTCCAAGAAATGGTCCTCTTTGACTTGGAGGACTAGAGAACTGGCCATGTTGGAAAGGAAGTCTCTGTGGGCCACTCTGTGTACCAAAATGCAATGCTAATGCTCCTTCTGGAAAAGAACTCCTCTGATTACCAGGTCCAACAGGGAAGGGAACTCTTTGGCCCTGACCACCAGAAAATGGACCTCTTTGATTCATTAACCTTACTGGGAATGGTCCTCTTTGATTCATCCCTGGAAATCCACCTCTTTGAAGAGAATTATGAAATGGAGAACCAATCCTCATACGTGGCCCTAGCATCCCACGATGAAACATACCCATTCTGGGACCTTGCAGTAAGCCTGCACCTTGCATGTTTGGTCGATTGCCCAGTCTGCTATGTGCACTTGGTCGCCCCCTTGTTTTGTTTTTTCCTCTAAGTGTTTTATCAGTCATAAACTGTTCAATCTGTGCTGCTTGCTCTTCATTAATTTCTAGAGATGGTGCAAAATTAATCAGAAGTTTGACTTAGTATTTATAGTAAATATTAAAGTACAATAAATTTTAAACAATTCACTGTGTTCAACACAATTCAGATCTCGTTTTATTAAATACTTACTTATGTTGAATGACTTAAATTTGGGTATGTCATGCCTGGAGAGTTGTGCACATTAATCAATGTTTAATCAGTAAACAGCATATTCAGCCTTATTAAAAGGATTAATCTGCTAATTAGCCTACAGAAAATGCTTTCTATATGTTAGATTTAAACAAAGATGAATTATGGGATATTATCATCTTTGTACCAAAATAAGTATGTGCAAGGGTCTTGCTGTAAATATAGGCATACAGCATAAACTCACCGAGTGTGTCAGGAATAGCCTCTCGAGCAGTAGTTGAAGTAAGAGATATTACTCCTGTTCTCTCACTAGTGAACTTCCCACGGTTGTGTCTAGAATCTTCATCATCACTTTCACTTTCACTCCCATAATGTTCACCATCCCCATGCTATACACAAGTAGTACCATAATAAATACATGTTATTAATGCTAATATGTTTATTTGAGTGGCTTAATTGGAAGATATGCCCTCGAGACACATCTCTTCAAACTCTAATATTTTGACTCATTCTTACCCCCTCTGACTGATTACAAATAAGTAAATAGTACTTGGGTGGGCGAGGTCAATCTTTTTACAAAGCTTTACTACTTTTGCATAACTTTTTTTTACTGTCATGTTTCTTTTTTTTATTTTTGATACTCTATGTGAAGCGAGGTGAGCCTAGCCCTAGGCTGGGGTACAGCGCTATATAAGACCGCTTTAATAATAATAATGTGTCACAGAAACAGTTTTATCAAAATTATTTAACAACTTTCCTTGACAAATAGAAAGTCACATGAGAAGATATTGTATAAAGTAAGCCAATTCCTATTTAAATGTTTCATGTAACATAAGCAAAACTGAGCATATTGAGCTTTAATTTGTGGTGGTAACAAATAAATAAACATTATTCAGTAACAGTTCATGAACTGCCTATTCTAAATATTTTTATGCTAAATATATAAAAAGTTCCTAATGATAATGGCAGTGAATTAAATGCATCCCAGTTTTCTTAATTAAACTTATAAATAGCTTTGTTAACACCAATTTAATACCAGATATAACAGCTACTGATTTGATGGCTGTTGACAATAATTATGTGCAGTTGCTGACTTTTTTTGCTTTCCCTCTCATCATGAAAAATTATTTATAACTAAACAAATACAAACACAAATATTACTTCCACTTGTTGTTCTGCTATATCTCCTTGGTGGGCTTCTTCAGATGTGTCATATTCCAGCTGGACCTAAACAAGAGTAAAATACAAATAGCAATACTACCTCCAAGATAAAAAGATCTTCCTATGCAAGAGTGGATCTTAAGGGGAGGTGTGGGTGAAAAATCTAAAATTTTTGTTTGGCTTCATGTAGGATTTTTTTTAACTACACCTTATTTGGTATTGTAATGGAGGTACAAAACAGGTTTAAAAAAAAAAAATTTCCATTGGTTGCCTTTGTAGCCCATAAAAACCTCCGCCATTTTTATTTTTTTAGTGTCTTTTAAAACACTAAGGCTTTTACAAATTTTAAGTTATGGCTATCAGATTTTAAACATAGGTTATTTAACCTATAATAAAACTTTGTATAACAGGACTTTTTGATGTAATGACTGGTTATAAATTTACAGGGTCAGAAATTGTGACCCCATTTTTTATGACAAAAATAGGGGTGTGGGTGAATTCTTTTTTACATATTTTATTTTCTAAGACAGTTATCTTAATTCTAGGTTATTCAAATGTTTATTATTGGTCACTGAACATACTGTGAAAATTTGGTGAGGTTTGGATAATAAATAAAAAAGTTATAGGGATATTGGTGACCAAAAATATTGAAAACAAGAAAACTGAAATAACGAAGAAAAACGACAAAAACAATGAAAATATCAATGAAAAATAAGAATCTTATACCAAGATTGGAATAAAAACTTTTTATTAGCCTATTGTGGACATTTTTAATCATTTTCCAGGTCCATTTTTCTTTTTTCCTGACCACTCAACTTTTCACTGTGATTGATATATTTTTATCTATTATTCTGTATTTGTCGAAAAAATAATAATTCGCTTATTTTGGAGAATTTCAGCATTATAAAAGTGTGCAAAATCATAAAATTAAGCTAGGTAAATATGCAATTCCAAAGAGTTATTTGGCATTGTCCATGAATGCTGAAAATGCAACTCTTGGTCTTGTAAAGAAAAAATTGTAAGTTCTATGAGTTCTAATGACGGAATGAATATTGACAGTTGTAAATTTTCTGATTTCTATCTCACAACTTTTGAATCACTTGAGTTGCAACATGTATTTTTCCACAAAAGCATATTAACTGTTTTTTGTGTGAGCCAGAAAACTCATGAGCAATAACTCCATTGTAAAATCTAATTAGTTACTGTATCAAATTTTGACACTCGTCATGTTGAAAATCACATCGCATAGAGATACAATGTTAAAATAAGGGAATTATTGATATGTTTCTTTCAACTACTGTCTTATTCTTTTTGTCCTTGAATAACACATAATGAGTTTTGTGATGTAATCTGTGTTAGTCTTCTCTTGCATCCTCTGCCTGAGGTTACTTTTATTTCGATGCATCGAACATATGTTGCGCCGAGGAATCTGAAACATTGGAATACACTTAGGGCACTCCTTCTTTTTCATGTGCATATTGTCCTTTGGGCTAAATGGACCTAGGCACAACAGATCAGTGTAGTTTATCAACAGGAAATATAATGCATGTTGTGGTTTGTTGTGTTCCGCAAACTCATTGCACGTCTCCTCAATCATTCCTGAAAAAAATAAACTTGTAGTTAGATATTTTTATTAAATGCTTCTCAATAAAAATATAAGGCTATAATGAAATTAATGACTGATAGGTCATACTTATTGACACGTATTTCAAGCAAAATTTGTTAGGGCTCTTACTCTTACTTTACTTTAAAATAAAATAACACTAATGACAATGTTATTTGCGATGCAATAAAAAAAATGAGAAATTTATTACATTTAATTTCATATTACCATTTTAATAGCTATAAATATAGGACAGTGTAAGACAAATGTCACAATAACTAAATTCATAAACTGTTTATAGGTTTTATTTTCACTACAGTTCAATATCACAAAAGTAACAGTGTTTATTACTCTAATAAAAAGTATAAGTATAGCCCTCATTCAATGGTCTATAGTGAGCACAGTATAGGCTTAGCCTTATGAATAATTGATACCGTACTTTGAATTTGAATCTAAATGAAAAATAGATTTTTAAGACTTACCAAGGCATGGTATTTTTCTATGTTTTTCCTGCTGGTGAAGTAGCGTAGCGATGCTTGAACTTGAAGGACTAGCACTATTGATTAGGCTTAGTCTTAGTAGTTAAGTGTACTCAGTCTTAGTCTTCTCCGAAAAGGAGAAGCATTAATCATGTTTATTATGGCAATTAATCAAAGCCAACTCATTTTGTGTGGTTATTTACTTATTTAGTTGTTTTTAACTCCTCGAATGAATTTAATACCGACAAATTACATATCGAACTTGCTCAGCCTCACGAAATTAGATACGGTTTGTTTATACCGGAAGTGACCTTTACAAACAGATTTCCTACACAGGAACCAATCAAAACGCTTATTTTATTCAAAGGTCAGATTTTGATCACGTGATACACAAAGTAGGACAGGAAAATACCAAATTTTGCTAGACATTACCGGCGATCGAAAGGTTTGGTTGCTTTTGTAATTTTCTTTGTGATCATAAGCTATATTTATCTTGACCCCGAAATCACCATCTTTCCAACCATGCCAAAGACATAGGGATTGGGCGATTCCAAATACTCATAACAAAGGGGTAAAAACACTAAAAATAGGAAAATTTTGACATTTTTCTGATTGATAGGGTCAGGAAATATGTAATTTATTATATTTTCTAACTTACTTTTGTAAAAAAAAATATAAAAATGTAACAAGAAATCGTTAATAAAACCAAATAACTAATAATAAAAAATTATTCAAAATTTGCCATTTTCATCAATTTCTCACCCGCACCTCCCCTTAAGTTTAAGAATAAAGGTCAAAATTGATGCTTGTGAAAAAAAAAAAAAAAAATTAAATAAAAATGCGTGACAATTATATGCATCCTAGGTTACTCTATCTTTTAATATACAAAAAAAAAAAAAATACTATAGCTTTAAATATAAAGAAATAGTTAAAATTTATGTTTGCATTCCTTCTAAAATCCTATCACTATTTAACCACTTCAGTATACTAATGAGTGTTAATGGACACATTATTTTGTAGATATTCCACCTGCTCGTCACTCTCTGCAGGCTGTTCATATCCCAACTCAACACTGGATGATTCAAGTCCTGTTGCATGTGCTTCACTGGCGGAGTATTCCACATCATTAACATCTCCTACATATCCTCCTCCATCACCTCCTTCGTAGCCTTCTTGGTCACCTTTCATTTCGACATACGTTAGATCGGCTTCAAGATGATGTATGCTGCAAAAAAAAAAATAGGCAAAGTTAAGTTGCCTTTAAGACATCAAAAGCTTCTTTTTAAATTACACAATTAAATCATATCAAAAAAAAATAAGTACTCTAATAGCTGACCTCACCTCAGATCTTTTAGACACAATCACAATATTGTCATTAAGTATTTTTTTGCTTAGAAATCTTCTCTAAAATATATATACACTGTTTCTAAAAAATATTACTCAATTCTATATTTGCATCTGTTTTAATTTTAAGATAAAAGAGAAAGAATAATGTCATATGCACATTACTTCATCAAAAAAGTGATAAATTGCCCTCAGTCACTTACCTATCTGCATTATATTCTACATGATGCTCCTCAACTGAAGATATTTCTGCTTGGGCATCCCCACTCCCAACCTGATCATGATACATTTGTGCAGAGAAATCCCCTTCTGTTTCATCCTGATATACTGATCCAACATCTGCTAAATGGAAATGTCCATCCTCTTCTCCAGCGACATTTAACTCATCCTCAAGATCTGTTGTCTCAGTCTCTTCAAACACAAAGGCCTGTTCATCCACAATGTCTATTGGTTGAGTAACTTGATGCTAATTTGATAATTAACAAACTAATAATGCATTGCCCTATCAATTTATTATGATAGCAATTTTTAATGACTGCTCCTTATAAAATTATTAATTTTAAATAATTGAGTTTTGATATGTTTCCAAACACCAAACACATATAATTTTTTATTACAATAATGCTCAATAAAAAAAAAAAAGTAAATGTGTATTTTTAGTTTGGACAAACTTCAAACAAACAAAAAATATTTTTTTACATTTTTTTTTTATTCAATAGCAATTTATACCTGATGACTAGGACCTCCAATTCTTGACCTAGACCTGAAATAGTAAAATGTTAGCTTTGACTTACTCATCCATAAACAGATATACAAAATTAATACATTGATGTTGATAAACTTATTCAACAAATTCAAACCATAATTAATAAATATATTTATTTTGTAACTTTTACCTTGTAGAAAGGGGGCGAACAGAATCATTAGCAAATGAAATAGAAACAGTCTTAGTGCCTGCTTCATCCATGCTAAGTAGTGCATCTTCATCAAGTTCCCCATCATCACCAAGAAGATCAAGCTCAAGTGGTAATAAAGTTAGAAGATATATGTCAGTAGTGGTTAAAAAGTATGTTTATCCTTTTACCAACTACATGTTTGCTTAAATGTTACTGGATGTAATTATCCAAAATGCATTACCATATTATTTATCATTACATGTGCAATGAATGATATATTCAAACAAACCAGGAAAATATGAAACATAACTGTGAAAAAACTTTTTTTTGGTTGTGGGGGGGGGGGTGGTGTTTAGTAAGAATGTTGGTGCCATTAAAATGATATTTTTCTATTTACCTCTGATGACTTTTGAAAAGCAGCGCTTGTGTCACCAAGTAATTCTTCATCACTGAGAAGAAATAATTCATTATAATTAATGATTTATTAATTAATAGACCTACATGCAAACTGATATGATTCACACAATGCTATACTTATGTCATGCTTTTTACATTTTCTGAATTGTATATCAATATCTTGCATATGATTTTGTATGTGGTTTTCATTGAATTTAAAAACAAATCACATGTGTGCATAATAGTGGCGATGATAGGAATATTTGCTTTTACTTCTTATTAGAAGTTCAGTGTTGGTCAAAATGAATCTTAAACCCCAATGGTCCATTCAAAGTGACCTTTGCCGCGTTTGGAATCAGTATTGGTGAATTATAATCTAAATATAATAATTAGCCTCATTGACCAGTGTTAACATTCAGTGGGAATCAATCATCAATAGACTTGACTTAACGTAACTTAACTGAAAATCAAGGGAGTAGCTTTGAGAACATTTCAGCAATTAATACAGATAAATAATTTTCCGTTTGTGTAAATCTGACCAATACAGTTACTCTAAGGCAGTATTCCCTAAATGGTGATACACAGAGTGGTGCTGGTCCAGTTTTAAACAAGTTATTGTTTATTACAATTTAATTATTCCAACCTACTCCGTACAGCAAGGTCAGGTTGAATTATTTCATAAGTTTGAAAGCGTCAGTTGTATGTTTTGATATTTTACAAGATTGTAACTGGCGGCTGAAAAAGTATCAGTTTGTAGAACTGACAAATATCACTCAGGGATCGTGATCCCATCGGGAAACTGAATCCGACGGTTAAAAGGGATCCCACCTGGAACAGGCACCCATCAGGAAACAACTGTTCTATTTGTATACCACAGTTCAGTGATAAAGATTAAAGGTCCCCAAGGAACTAACAAATTTTAGCTAATGAGTGCTCAATGACTCAATGGACATTTTATTATAGTTATAAGTTATAGCGGCACGGCACCTCTAGGGTTGGCCAACAATGTGCCTGTGGTGTCAAACTCCTAGTATTATAATAATATTATTATTAAAAATATATTATTATTTGTAGTAGTAGTATTACAATTAGTCTTTTTTAGTATTACATTTTTATTAGTTGGCATTGTCATTTTGGGCATTGCTTTTTTTGGCCATTGGTTGATACACTAATTAAAATGATACAGTTACACAGTCATACTATACTATACACATTGAGTCATCCCAGAGTTGAACTTACAAGACATAATAGCTTAGTTAGTTACAATAAAAGCTAGTGATGCATACAACTAAACTAAAGTGGGTTGCAAAATATATCAATAATATGACTAACTCTACTAACATATAAGCATATAGGCTATAAGCTTTACTGTGTTATACCTAAGTTTGGAAGCCGCCATGATTAGTAAACACTATTCTCACATTAATTGTTGTCAGAGAAATTTTCTCAACATCAGTGGCGCTACCCAAAGTGACGTGTGGGGGAGGGGATGCTGGGACCAAAAGGGCGTAACTTTAAGTAGACAATGGGAAGATTTTACCGCAATTTTTTTTTCTCTTTGACTGCGTCAAATCTTCTGACTCAATTCTGACCCACTATCTGATGATGATGTTCAATTGAGCTGAAACTTTGTACACGTTCCCACCCCCAGTGACAACACAACACCTTCATGATCTTCAGGTCATTATTGACATTGACAGTGACTTCTACTGACCCTTGGACTTGGGGGGACGACCTTAAAGTACGACACACTATATTACACATGTATGCATATATATATATTTCTACTTTCCCCTTCCCGGGTCACAAATCTCATACCCCCCCCCCATTAAAAAACAACAACATTTTTTAAAGCACGTCATCCTTTTCGATATAAAAAATTATTTAAACAATAAAGGCTAATTAAGATTTAATCTATAACACACGTCAATATTAAACTGTTAAATTTTATAAGTGGCATCTTCGGTCAGAATACATCCATCACAACAGAAATTTCAACATCACTGTCAATTAAAACAAAATAAAAATTGTATGACAGCTCACAAGAATTTTACTTATTAAGGTGACCAGAAGTCTCAGTCAATCTATACAATCCCTGTTTTCGCATCACCCGTCCCGGCTTCCTAGAAAGGTCAGGAAATGTCCCGGCCTGTGGTACTATGGTGTTTTCCAATTAACTGTGTAATTTTCCCTAGACAGGGACAAATTATCCCACTGAAAGAGTCTTTTCTCTGATCAAAACAACACATGGACACCAGATAAATCAAAATTGATTGAAACATATGCTGGTTGTCAAATGCAATTTCAGTAATTCATGTGACAAGTTTTATGATATATTATTTATAAAATTCTGACGCCCTGAGAGCTATCTACTCATCTCAGAAATATTAGTATGTCATGATGATGAAATTAATAATTAAAATTCACTTGTTGATCCTTCATATTACTGACATTCCTCTGTTGTGTCGATTTCTTTTTCCTTTTCAACAACATGTCACTTGTCATTTGTTAGCTACTTACTGATAAGCCGTTTTTCCTTTTATGAACATTGAAAAAACAAAAAAGATGTTAATCAATTCCTCACAAAACATTTCTGGTACTTTATATATAATGTACACTAGTGAAGTTGTTTTTTACCCTCCAGGAAAGCGTGTCTTTCAGTCAATTTTCACCAATAGCTTTTTGGGGTTTTTTTGGCGAGGGATAGAGGCTACTCCCAAACACCCCGGGTCCCAGGCTATCCCCCCAAAAATCTGATCACCATACTGCATACCCTCACCCTCCATGTCACAAAATGTAGCATGACTTACGTTATGGGAAAACCCTTGAATGACCTCTGCGGGTCAAATCTTGCATATCAATATCTAGCTGAGCTGTCACAAAAAGTCATTTTTAATGAAAAGTAAAAAATTTTTTTTTAAAGAACAATATAAAAAATACTTTAAAAAAAAAAAAAAAAAAAAAAAAAAAAAAAAAAAAAATTTTTTTTAAAAAAAAAAAAAAAAAAAAAAAAAAAAAAAAAAAAAAAAAAAAAAAAAAAAAAGGGGAAAAGCTGTTCCAAAAATGTATTCTAAAAGTAGAGCAAAGAAAAGAGAGGAATTCAGTGCTACCTTAAGGAATAAGTTCCAAGCACAGGAAGACCAAACAGAAGATGCCCAAGTAGAACATAAATGGCAAAATATAAAGATGTCTGTAACCAGGCCCGGTTTAACCATTAAGGGGCCGTCCATAAAGTACGTCACGCTATTTTTGACCATTTTCAACCCGCCCTCCCCACTGTCACAAATATCGGACCCCCCTCCCCTAAAGTACGTCACACTTTTGAACAATTTTTTTTTTTAATTAACACCTAATTTTAATTTAATCCAAAACACACTTCACTATTAAACTGTATTAAATTATAAAATTTCCACTTAAAAGAACTATCACATTATTAAAATGACTTTGATAGTAGAATAGTTAATTGGCAACAGTTGTCACAGTTATTCATTGAAGCAGTAACTCAATCTAAATTGAATTTGAAAAAAAAATTGCAAAAATTAGACTAGACAATTAAATAACACACATCAATTATCTGCTGCTTTTTCATTTACAATAGATGAGGTCAAATTTTAGATAATCTTCCGATTATGCAGTCTTTTTACACAGGATGTGAAGTAGATTAGCGAAACTTGACCTCACCCAGCGATTAAATAATAAAAAGGACAGTGACATAATTATACAGAGGACAACATAGAAATAATAATACTTCAGGCATGGCGAAAGCAAGGCTATACATAAAACAAAGCTTCGCAACAGCATACTAGCGCTCCTAGCGAGAGGAATCGTGAACAACACATTCGGGAGATAGGCATTTCATGCTATTTTGACATGAAACTAATTCGAATGTTTCACACAATTTTTGAAAATTATTTTTAAAGGTATTAAATTCTACCAAAAAAAAAAAAAAATTAACAATGAAATTTAAAAAAATAAATGTGTGACGTCACACATGGTCTGACCCCCCCTCCCCCCTGTCACAAACTGTCACACTTTCTTACACCCCCAACTCCCCTCTGTAGCGTGACCTACTTTATGGACGGCAAATTTTTAGGGGGCGGCACTATTAATTAAATAATTAGTTGCCGTGGACATGGGGTTGCAGTGCGACAGGTTCGCCTAGGGTGCCAAATACCCTGGAACCGGCTCTGTCTGTACCATCCACTTGCCAAGAAGTTTTAGGATCAGTGAAGTAGAAACACAAAGATTGGCTCTCACTTAACACACTGCAAAAAAATAAAAGAGAGAAAAGAAATAAATGAAAATTATAGTTAACAGCAGCCGCACCAGGGCGGAGAAAACGAAAGCGCAAAAGAAATATAAAGAAGCAAACCAAAAGGTAAAAAATAGCATACAAAATAACAATGCCTACATATATGGCCTAGCATCAACAGCAGAAGAAGCAGCCAAGAAGGGCAACTTGAAANCCCCCCCCCCCCCCCACCCACAGACGCACCAGGCATACAACCAGAAAATGAAGACTTACAAATAGAAGAAAGAGCACCAAATAAGGAAGAAATAGGGCTGGCCATTAAGTAGCTCAAAATAGGGAAAGCACTGGGACAGGATAACATCACAGCAGAGATGATGAGAGCTAATATAGACACAATAGTCAACATGTTGCACACTGTGTTTGAAAAGATATGGGAAGAAGAGAGAGTTCCAAAAGATTGGAAAGAAGGATATACCTTATCAAGATACCAAGACAATCAGAGACTGGAACAAGCTTTCAAAAGGAACAGTTGAGGCGAAAACATTAGAAACATGTGCGTCTATTACATCAAGCCATCCAACCCCCAGTGCATGATTCCCTCACAAAGTAGCACTTGCAATCAGTGAAATATCCTCATAAACACCAGGCACAGAGAAACATTGCAAATCCCCTGTACATGCATAGGAGCCAAAATGATCCATAAATTGATCGTGGGCCCTTAATATATAGAAATATAGAAGAAGAAGAAGAAAGTGGATCTCGGCAATTGTGCAAATTACAGAGGAATCACACTGCTGTCTGTACCAGGAAAGGTATTTAACAGAATTATTTTGAATAGAATGAGAGACCAGGTTGACATGCAGCTACGAGATCAACAGGCTGGCTTCCGCCAAAACCGACCATGCACATAACAAATTGCAACACTAAGAATCATCGTAGAACAGTCCATCGGATAGAACTCCCACTATACATTTTATAGACTGCGAAAAGGCCTTTGATAGCCTGGACCGACAAAACTTGTGGAAACTTCTTTGGCACTATGGAGTACCAGGGAAACTAGTCAGGATCATTCAGAGCTCTTATGAAGAAATGACATGCAGGGTGGTCCACGAAGGTAGACTCACAGATTCCTTTAAAGTCGAAACATGCAATGAGTCAGACAAGGGTGCCTCTTGTCCCCATTTCTATTCATCCTTGCCTTTGACCGTATAATGAAAAAATCCCCAGACAAAAAGAGGAATGGGATACAGTGGACACTCTGGGAACAACTGAATGACTTAGACTTTGCAGACGATATTCCACTTCTGTTCCACAACAAGCAACAAATGCGAAAAAAAAGACAAAGGAAGTAGCCACCATTTCAGCACAGCTTGGACTCAATATAAATAAAAGCAAGACAAAAATCATGAAGGTAAACTCATCCAACCAAGAGCATATTTGTCTGGCAGGAAAGTTAATGGAAGAAGTGGAGTCCTTCAATTACTTAGGCAGCACCATAGACACAAATTGCGGATCCGATGTGGACGTAAGGGCTAGAATTTCGAAAAGCTATTAAAGAAAATATTGGAGTCGAAGGAGCTGAAACTACAAACCAAAGTCAGAATCTTTAATACAAATGCCAAAATAGTCCTACTATATGGTGCAGAAACTTGTAAAACAACAGTGAGCCTTATGCAGAAAGTGTAGACATTCATAAACACATGCCTTAGAAAGATCCTGAAAATCAAATGGCCAAATACTATCACCAACAAAGATCTACTAGAAAGGACATACCAGGTGCCCATTGATTAAGATATAAAGAAAAGATGGAGATGATAGGGATAGGTGGATACGCTCCAAAAACCCCACCAGACAATGCCAAACACGGAACCCACAAGGAAAGAGAGGAAGCCCTAAGAATACACGGAGACGCGAGCTTGAGGCAGAGACGCAAAATATGGGATACACCTGGAAGCAATTGGAAAGGAAAGCACAGGACCGTGATGAGTGGAACATTTTTGCGGACGGCCTATGCCCCCGACGGGTTAGAAAGGCATACGTAAGTAAGTAAGAAAAACAAATGTCCGCTAAAATTTCATAGTAATATGACAAACAAATAAATATGAACAATCCGTAAATTTTGATCTAAAATTACTTTTCCGTAAATTTCCGTAAGAACTTTAGGTTGTCCGTAAAAATTGTTAAATTAAAAAAAAAAAAAAGAAGTGAAACAAAACGGGAGGTTCGAATTTGTGTGAGTAATTCTTGCTTGCTTTAAATTTAAACTTGAATGATCATAATCTGGAGAATTTAAACACTGGTGATAATCACGCTGTGGGTACATTATGCAGTTTCCCAGGGCTCCGCACTTCTAGGGGGCTTCACGTTACTATGGTCACCATTTCTCTCTAACTGATTCAGGTATGGTTAGGAAAAGCATTTTGGAGCCAGGTTGCCCCATCCGGCATGAACAGTGTTTCTTTCTGACAATTTTATCCAGGGGTGAAGAGGTCATCTTAGGCCTGGTGTGGAAGGATACGGCATCTATAATCGCCAAAATTATTCATAGAAGCGTATCTAAGGGTGGCAGATACATTATACATTGTGAGAGAAAAATTTAACCACAATATAAGTATAATAATTACTACTTATTACCTTTTTACATTTATTAAACATTTTACAAAAGACATCGTGTGTTGATGTGTGATTTATGTGAGGAACTTTGAAGCGTTTAAACCCCTCCCCCCCCAATATCGAGGTAAGTGAGAGGGCTATTTTGAATTTCAACTTTTAAACGTTTAAACCCCCCCCCCCCCCCCAATATCGAGGTAAGTGAGAGGGCTATTTTGAATTTCAAACTATGAAAACTTTCTATTTCTAGTAACAAAAAAAAGAATTGACTCGAAAACTCGAAAATCGAAAGTTGTTCGTAGAAAGATCTTTCCCACTGCAATTTTGTGGCAATTTAATCAGTCAACATTTTAATATAATTCAATATTCATTAACATAATGGGCAGCATAATTTACCTAGAAGCGTGCGGTCCATTAAAGAGTTAGACCACGAGAGGCGGCACTGGTTCAAGTCTATTAATTTCCCATAATGTTAATGGATACTGAAGGATCTTTAGGCACTTAAATTATTATTTAAAAGACAAGTTAGATGCATGTTTCATAAGTTGTTCCGTTATTTTTTACTGGTGTGGGGGGGGGGGTAGTGACTGGGGGTTAGGCGGTTGTAAAATAGTTTGTTAAGGTATATCAAAGAGATAACGTCTCTGTGCACATTAAAAAAAAAATAAAACATTTAAAAAAACTTTTTATTTGTTTAAAAAACTAAAACATGTACTTTAAGCTTTTAAAACCGAAATGGGGGGGGGGGGGGGGGTAGTGACTGGGGGTTAGGCGGTTGTAAAATAGTTTGTTAAGGTATATCAAAGAGATAACGTCTCTGTGCACATTAAAAAAAAAATACAACATTTATAAAAACTTTTTATTTGTTTAAAAAACTAATACATGTACTTTGAGCTTTTAAAACCGAAAACAACGCGGATCCCAACAGGAAATGGAATCCCACCGTAAAGGGGTCCCATAATAGAAACGGGAATCCACCGGGATCCCAAAGGCCGAGGTATCACTCGGGGATCGTGATCCCATCGGGAAACTGAATATGACGGTTAAAAGGGATCCCACCTGGAACAGGCACCCATCAGGATATGGGATCCCATTTGGCGACAAAATCCCATCGGGATCGGGATCCCACCAGGAATGGAATTCCAGTGGAGTTGGGAAAAGGGGGGGGGGTGCGGTGGCATTCTCGGCCAAATTACTGAGTTTTTTCATGGTAAGGACGGAAAAAAGCTTTTCCGCCTTTGAGGACTTCTTTCTTTCTTTTTTTTTTGTTCTTCACACGCGAAGACAACAAAGGCAATTTTAGACTTGAGGGAGAGTTCCTCAATTTGCCAGTGCCAGCCTCCCTCTCTCGTTCTTGACTATTTGATCATATGTCAAAGAACTGGAAATAGACCAGGGTGCAGTCCTCTTTATACGTTCGACGTCGCAGGATTTTTGGAATAGCGCCTACGGGACGCCATCTCCGGGTTTGATTTCAATTAATTTCAGAGTTTGCCTTCTGAGCGTTCTCTTAGGTGAATTGCCATTTAAGGTTAACGAGTCCCACCCACCTGGGAGCTGTTGATCTTTTTTGTGCTTGTATAGCCGTTTTCTGGGGATTGAACCCCATCCCTAGCTTGGGATTGACTCACTTTAGACCAGGGTTTCTTTCAGCTATATCTCCGGGAGGGGGGGGGCCGGGGAAAGCCAAGTGCCCCCCCCCCATGGAGCAAAAATATGTCCAACAATAAATCAACTGGAACTGCTGG